AGCCTGAAGAGACAGCAAGCAATCACAGTGGCTGGACTAGTTTACAGTGGCTTTCTGCAAGTCCGGGTCTGGCTGATTCTGCAGTATACTACCTGGGGCTAGCATGATGTAGGTCTCTTTGGAGCAGTTTACACGCCGCAATTGATTTCTGGAGAGTGTCTGTTAACTGAATGGAAATCTGCTGGAACAGATATACACCAGGGACATAAGTAAAGTTAAAGAGCTAAGGGGAAAATCTTTATCTTGTCTCTCAGCCACTGCCACCCTTCGACTCTTCTACTCAGTTTCCATGTAGCTCCATAGTCCCAACATGCCTTCCAGCAGTTTGGCTGGGCCGAGGCTCCATACCCAGGAACTGTTTACTCCATTTGAGCCTGTTGGTAGGGATCTGCAGCAATCTTCCAAGTTTTTACTCTTTCTGGATATGTTATCTTTGGTTTTACCTGCTGTTTACCACCTGAAGCTAGTGAAGCCTCCTCCTTGGGGCAAATATTTCAATTTGGAGAGAATGTTTCAACTTGGAGAAAGATGACCTACAAAAGCTAGCTTATTTTTTAAATGATAAGAATTTGTATTGACCATCTCGCAAACCAATACTAAGACAAAGACCATTGGGATAATGATCAAAAAGATGCCACCCTATCAAAAAGATACAAGTATGTGTACTTCATAACTTCTCTTTGAATTGTATAATGTGAAGACCACATCAGTCCCTAACATATGCCTGGAGACATCGGATTCCCTTTGTAGTTTACCCCAAGAAGGCCACATTGAGTTTTAAATTTGTGTTTTCTGGGCCTGGAGAGATACAATTGAGCTGCCTCTCCACCTGCACTCACTCATAAACAAATTTGATACTATGTATACAGAATAATATGGACATGTAGACAGTATTTATATACATATAGCTGCCATAAAGATAATTCTCTAATCAAAGATTTTTAAACTTTTAGTTAGAGCTATGATTTGTCAATTTTTATGCTACAGTGTTAACTTGATTGTTTTAAAATTTTTAATTAGTCTTTAACCTAAACCTTGTATGGATAAAGACAGGAATTCTAATGGAAACTAAGTAGACAACTTAGATGCAACACTGATCTCTAAAAACATGCAGTAACCCTTTGGTTTGGTTGGTTTGTTTGTTTATCTATTTATCTATTTGGTTAGTTGGTTGCTTGGTTATTTTTGTTTGTTTTTTGTTTTGTTTTGTTGTTTTTTGAGATGGGGTTTCTCTGTGTAGCCCTGGCTGTCCTGGAACTAGCTGTGTAGACCAGGCTGGCCTCATACTCACAAAGATTCCCCTGCTTCCTTTCTCCAGAGCACTGGGGTTAGTGGAACACCACCACCCTGCTAGTTTTTGCTGCTCTTATGTACAAGGTTCAAAGGCCATGTTCCGGAGCACAGTTGATTTACCAAGAGACATAACTCTTCAAACAATGGTGAGTGGTTTATCAGCTTATCCCTCATGCATGCTGAAAATGCTGACTGGCTTCATCTCCTGCAGATGAACATAATTGCTGTTATTTTATGCTGTAGTCCTATCATGTCTAGAAGATATTGTTTCAGCCCAGTGTCTGACTTTTACAATCATTCTGTCCTTTACTGATCAATGTTTCGTGAGCCTGGAGGACCCGGGTGGGAGATAGAGGTATAATGTAGATGTTCTGTTTATACCTGAGCACTCCGTAGACACTTATTTGTTTCACTTTCACAAGTGGTGAATTTTTCTGCATTAATCACTGTCCACTGCACACAGAAAAATTTCTCACAAGGATAAGTGTTGCACTTATCTATGAGTCTAGAGATAGATATTGAGATTGTTACAATTTGTAAATTAGTATTATTAATACTGTGAATTCTCCAGCTCTGGGTCAGATTTACAGGAACAGATATGTTTTTCCTTGTGTGGAGTGGGCCTTAAATTCAATCAGAATGTGATCTCTTACCCTATAACCTTGATGCAATCACACCATGGACTTATATTCCAGGCTGGTTGTTACTGTGGCTCTCAGGGCTCACGGAAGTGAAGGGTGGTAGTGACTTTTCTACCTCTGCAGTAACAATGTAGTGGGCAGCCAAGAGCTGTGATGAGGGCCTGTTTGGGGTTTTCATTTGGGGAGAAGGGGCTTTGGGGACAGCTCAGACCAACAGTAACTAACATCTGTCACTGGGCTTTTTACTTGGCAACCTGTGGCTTCTAGGAGGTACAGAGGATCCAGCCTTCTGCAGGTCAGAGAGACTGGGAATAAGATGCAGAGTCAGAGAGAAGAAACACACAAGCTTATTTTCTGAGGGATAAAGTTCTTCTTCTTTTTATTTTTCTTTTAGTCTTTGTTATACTCTATTCTTTTTCTGTTCTATTCTCCAACCTTGACATTTCCTTTCTTTTCCTTTCCTGATGACTTCTCCACAACTTCCAGATTTCTTCCTTTTGTTCCTTTTTTTTCCCTTACAGCTTATATACCCCAGCAAAATTTTCTAAGCCATATAAAAATTACAATGTGGTTACATTCTATTTTTTAAGTGAGTGATTACAATGAATATAAGTAAAAAACAGCATGTTTTCCATATCCCTCATATGATTAAACATTTTATATATTACAGGTGAAAAACAAATTATCCCTAAGAACCCACATACAGTTAAACATTTATCTTTTAGACTTCTCATAAATCAGGAGCCTTTCAGGAATAACTGTTTATATAGGCAGTAGTTTTTATAATTGCCAGAAAAACAGGTTAGTAGTTTCACTTTATTTTAGAGTCCAGTCCAACTAACCATCCAGTTCTTTGTTTTCTAGTTACCTGAAGTCAAGTGTTTAAAGGCTGGAGAGATGGCTCAGCAACCATCTGTGATGAGATATGGCGCCCTCTTCTGACCTGCATGCATATATGCAGACAGAACACTGTATACATAATAAATAAATCTTTAAAAAAAAAAAAAAGACCAGGTGTATAGAAAAAAAGTTTGTTTTAGCTATGGTGCACACCGAAACCTGTGAACACAATTCCCAATATCAAAAAGAACTTGAGCTAACGCCTCGGACTCTTTTCCTCAGTCATTAACTTAAGCCACAGTCTATACAGCTCCTCCAAAGAAACTCAAAAGTCCTACCTGTGTGACACTTCCTTGGTTCTATTTTGTATACTCTGCAGCTCCTACTTTATCAAGGATTGGGAGAACACTATATCCTACCTTTACCTCTATTAATTTTCCCACTAAACTAAACTAACCTCTATAATAACCCTTACTGTATTTGTTAGAAATTCTTAATCATCAAAATTCTGTTTAAACTAACAACTATTATTGCATAAAATCATTACCTCAGTTAAACAGTACAACTTAAGAGGAAATTATCTTCATAATAATCCACAGGTAAAAAGGCCCAGTAGAATGGAATCTTTCCATGAGATAATCACACTATATTAAGGGCAGTGGGGATCCCCCACACCCATTCACACCATACCAGATACCAGAGAAAAAGGCAGTGGCAAATATGTAAGGGCACAGCTGGAGCAAGAGACATTCTGGAGCCAAAGCCCTCGGGGCCTTGCCTATCAGATTCACCTATCAGTGTTTTGCTTCTTGGTGGGCTGAATTCCCAAAGTTCAAGTGCCATCTGCTGCTCTTCTGACATGGCCACCTTCAATGAGGGAGCATAGTGCCCTGTGTAGGGGACTGGTTTTAGACATTTATTACAGATATTAGTTGCAGGTAATAGATTAAATCAAGTATTTTACTTTAAAGCATGTTTTACAGATTATAGAGGTGACATGTTGTTAAATTAGAGCTTTGTCTAAGAACATGTTTCCATTGTTTAATAGTTCAGTGACATTCCCAAATAAAAATGGTGTGATGGGCCAGTGAGATGGTTCAGTTGGTTGTGACCTTGACATCCTGAGAAGAGGGAATCTCAGTTGAACTGGTTCCACCAGATTGGCCTGTGGGCAAGTCTTTCCTGAGTCTCCTGCCTTGGCTTCCCTCAGTGATTGACTATAACCTGTAATCCATATAAATACTTTCCTGCCCAAGTTGCACTTGATCATGTTTTATCATAGCAATAGAAATCAACTTAAGGCACAAATGAAATAAATTATTATTCATCATGAGTCTGGTTTGCTGTTTGATTAAGAATGGTCCAGAGGACCCAGCTATATACTTTCTAATACTGGCCTTTAGTGCAACCACAGGAGATATACTCAGCTTCCTAACAAGTTGTAAGTATTAACTAGAGGTCTGCTGAGATGGTTCAGCAGTAAAGGCACTTACTATGCAACCCTGATGGTCTGAATTCAATCTCTAGAACCCTTGTTAAGATGGAAAGAGAGAACCAACTCCCACGAGTTGTTGCTGACCTCCATAAGAGCACTGGAGCATGCTCATCCACCCCCATGCACACACATAGTAAATAAAAAAATGCATAAGTAGTGTCTACCAAACTAAGTGATAAAGAGTCATCAGTGAGAGAAAATATTCAGGTTTAATCAGATAATATTTCTCTGATGCCTATGAGATTATTCCAGGGAGAACAGATGTTGTTCTTGTGCTTTTTTAACTTGAGATATAGTTGTCATCAACTCTGTAAGAAATTTACCTGACTTCTTATAGCTATGGGGGGAAGAAATCATTGGAGATCTCAGTTCCCAGATACCAGGAGACTGTTTTGTCCAGCATTTCTAAGCACACACATTCTAAGGACTGCTGATATTGACTCCCTGGAGGGTATTAGACCATCAGAATTTGTGATGAAAGTTGTTAGAAAGATGCAGGACAGAAAGAGAAACTAGCACAGTGGTGTGCACAAGAGCTCATGCTATCTTCATGTTTCCTTCCCAGAAAGCTCCAGTTTGTGTTTGGAGGAATCCTAGCCTATATGAGCAGTAGAGTGTGATGACCAAGACAACTTGTGGAACATAGTGTCGTGTCAACTTCTCATTAATTCTGTGTGCATCTCCAGTGCCATGAGGCTCACTTTCCGGGAAATATATGTGTGTGCTTTTAGGAGTCAGTGAGCTTTGAGGATGTGGCTGTGAAGTTCACCAAGGAGGAGTGGGCTCTGCTGGATCCATCCCAGAAGAAGCTGTACAAAGATGTGATGCAGGAAACCTTGAGGAACCTGGCTGCTATAGGTACACATGAGCATTGCCTTTTCTAGCCCATTATAGGACAATGTTTCTAGCTTATCAGTGTTGATGTATGAAATGGAATATGGGAAGGGGAAGGGGGGGTGCATGTGTCAGATCACTTATACCTTCACTTTAGGTGTTATCTATTTTTTCTGTAAATAATAATTCTTAACTATTTCTCTGATTCTGCATTTTAGGAAACAAGTTGGAGAACCAGAAGGTTGTAAATGAGTGTGAAAATCTCTGGAGAAAACTAAGGTAATTTGTTTCCTAAAAGATAACCATATTCTAGAGTGCTGGTGGTGCGATAGAACATTTTACAAAGAGGAAAAAGATGCATTTGATATCCAGCATCAAACCACTTTCAGGAAACTCTCTCCTAAAATTCGTGTGTTAAGCATCAGCAATAGTACATCCCAAACATTTCAATTTTGAGGACAACTAGAATATGATGATGTCATATGTGATGTGTTATCGTAGTTCATATATACAAACTTTATGCCATACAGAGTGTCTTCGTTTGGTTTTGTATTGCTGGGATGAAGTCCATGAGCCAAAGCAACTTGATGTGGAAAGGGTTAATTTCACCTTGTATTTTGCAGTCAAGGGAAATTAGGGCATGAACTCAAGCAGGCAGTCAAGGGCATGAACAGAAAGCAGAGGCCATGGAGGATTGCTGCTCACTGTCTTGCTTACTTTGTTTTCTTATACACCTCCTGACAAGCTGCCTGGGAGTGGCATTGCTCACAGAGAACTAAGCACTTCCACACTGCTTGTCAATCAAGCTCCACAGGTTGCTTACAGGCCAGTGTGATGGGGACATTTTCTCAATTGAAGTTCCCTACGAAGACTCTAGGTTTTGTCAAGTTGACAAAATACCAGCACAATTGACTCCTTGTCGACGTGAGACACAAACACCCCATATTAAGCCATTAGCTGTCCTTTTTGTTTGTCTCCATGATGTCATGTTACTATTAATACCAGCAATACCAGCTGGTCTACAGAGGGATGCCTGGTCTACAGAGTAAGTTTCAGGACTATGCAGAGAAACCCTATCTCAAAAACCAAAAAAAAAAAGAAAGAAAAGAAAAATTAATTTAAAAAAGCTAAGAAATAGTCTTAAGATATTTCAATACTTTAAAAGTCGAAGTTCCCTTAAAATCCAAGTATCTTTTTAAAAAATGAAGAGTCCCAGCACTTGGGAAGCAGAGCCAGGTGGATCTCTGTGAGTTCGAGGCCAGCCTGGGCTACCAAGTGAGTTCCAGAAAAGGCACAAAGCTACACAGAGGAACCCTGTCTCGAAGGAAAAAAAAAAAAAAAGTGAAGAGTCTTTGAAGTGTAGGTACAAAAAGTCAGTTACGTAATTTCATACTCCAAGAGGAAGAACATAGTAATAATCAAATCATAGTAATAATCAAATCAAGGCAAACTCAGCCTCCGACAGTGTAAACAATCTAATGTCTCATATCTGGTGGAGACTCACTGTTTCTGGGCTCCCAAGACCCTAGTCAGCTCCACTTCTCTAGGTCTACCACTGGTAGCACACATAGATTGTCCCCTAGGCTCAGGCCAGCATCACACCATATCTGCTCCTGTCCCCAGTGGTCATTCTACCCTGCTGGTGTCTCCTAGGCTCAGGCCAGCATCACACCATATCTGCTCCTGTCCCCAGTGGTCATTCCACCCTGCTGGTATCTCCAATATGCTGGTGGATCCAGTGTATTTGAAGTACATCCAGAAAGTGTATAATATTGTGGATTCAAATTTGTGTTAAAATGCTATGGGACTACCTAATGTTCTCAAGGTGATATACCCCATCATACATGAATACCATTGTTTCTCTTTTAACTGTCCTCAAGTGGTCTTGGAAAACATTGCAGTCCAAACATGTTTCAAACTTTTTCTCAGCATGAAATCAACATTCCTTTTGTTCAGTCATTAATAAACCAAGTCTTAGTCATGTACTCTCCACTTGTTTTGTAGCAGCCAACTGATAGAGAAATTCTGTGAATATGAAGAAAGTCTTCAGAGTACAGAACTCTTCAGCTGTATTCCAGAGCCTCCTGTGAACCTGAAATCTTCTCCAGGACTTTCCACATGTGAGAAGCATGTGTGTGGAGAAGGAAGCATTGGCCATTCATCTCTAGGTGCACCCCTAAATCATCAGGTAGGACACAAACCTCATAAAGACCAGGAATATGGATGGAAGTTGTATAAACATAAGGAGTTTGGGGGCAGCTCCAGTCCTCTTCTGTCCCTTCAGACACACAAAAGTGCTCACACTGGAGAGGAACCTAAAAATAAGGACTACAAAGAAGACCTTCCTTGTTTCAGACCTGATCAAAGCTATGAACAACATGACCAAGCAAAGAAGTCTTACGTATGTAAGCAATGTGGGAAATGCTTCTCATATCTCAATTTCTTAAAAACACATGAAAAGATTCATTGTGGTAAAAATACCTATGTGTGTGAACTGTGTGGGAAAGGCTTTGTTAGGTTAGGTTACCTTATCAGACATAAAATAACTCACACTGTTGAGAAGTCTTTTGTATGTAATCGTGGTGCAAAGCCCTACACATGTAATCAGTGTAGGAAAAGTTTTTCTCGCTCTACTTCCCTTCGAAGACACACAAGAATCCACACTGGAGAGAAACCCTATGTATGTAAACAATGCGGGAAAGGATTCATTACTTCTAGTAACCTTCAAGTACATGAACGAACTCACACTGGGGAAAAACCTTATGTATGTAAGGATTGTGGGAATGCCTTTAGGCTTTTGATCCAATTGCAAAAGCATGAAGTAATTCACAGTGGTGTGAATCCCTTTGTTTGTAAGCAATGTGGGAAAAGCTTTACTTGTTCTGGTTCTCTAAAAACACATGAAAGAATTCACACTGGGGAGAGGCCCTATGTGTGTGAGCACTGTGGGAAAACCTTTGGTTATTCCAGTACCCTTAAAACACATGAAAGAATCCATACTGGAGAGAGACCATATGCATGCCAGCAATGTGGGAAAACCTTTCGTTATGCTTTTTATGTTCAAAGACATGAACAAATCCACAAAAGAGAGAGGCCCTATGAATGTAAGCAATGTGGGAAAGCCTTTCGTTATGCTTTTTATGTTCAAATACATGAACGAATCCACAGCAGCAAGAGACCCTATGAATGTAAGAAGTGTGGGAAAGGATTTATAGCTTCTAATCAACTGGAAATACATGAAAGAACTCACACTGGAGAGAGACCTTATGTGTGTAAGCAGTGTGGGAAAGGTTTCTTGACATCATACCGTTTGGGAAGACATGCACTGATTCATAGTAGAACAAATAAAGATGTTTGTAAGTAGCAAGAGAAAGTCTTCTTTTAGTTAGCTCTTATAGAAATCAAACTACAGGAGAGCGAAAGTTAATGCTGAAAATGTGGGAGAATGTCATAGTGGAGAGATAAGTTTTTGTTTGTTTGTTTGTTTTTTGAGACAGAGTTTTGCAATGTAGTCCTGGCTGTCCTGGAACTCATTCTGCAGACCAGGCTGGCCTTGAACTCGCAGAGATCCACCTGCCTCTGCCTCTTTAGTGCTAGGATTAAAGGTGCACACCACCGCTGCCAGGCTTGAAAAGCTATTTTTTTAATCAATGTGGCTTTTAGTACTAGTAGTTGCCTTCAAATACATGGGAGCAGACACACTGGAGAAAGGCTGCAAGCAACGAGAGAACGTCGTCTGCAATCTTCTCGTTGTGAAGAAGATGTGAAATATCTCACACTGGAGAGAAACCTTGTGCACGCAATGTAGACAGCCTTTAGTTCTCTCAGGGCCCCAACAGACACTGAAGTTAATATTTGGGAGAGAAAGCTTTCATACATGAGAAATCGTCCAGATTTTTCAATTATCCCAGGTTCTTTTGCAGACATGAATATAGTACAGGTTAATTCTAAAATATAGAATTTGTGAAGTCTTCATTACCACTTTCATAGCATTTAGAAGAATGAATCTTGAGAATTCATCATTGGAAAACATGTGGGAACATTTTTTGGTTCAACTCAAAAATTGAGAAATAACTGGGCCGTGGTGGCGCACGCCTTTAATCCCTGCACTCGGGAGGCAGAGGTAGGCTGTTCTCTGTGAGTTCGAGGCCAGCCTGGGCTACAGAGTGAGTTCCAGGAGAGGCACCAAAACTACACAGAGAAACCCTGTCTCAAAAAACAAAAAACAAACAAACAAAAAATTGAGAAATAGTAAGGTTGGGGAAACAAACAAGTTTGATTAAAAGAGACAATTGTGGCCGGGCGGTGGTGGCGCACTCCTTTAATCCCAGCACTCGGGAGGCAGAGCCAGGTGGATCTCTGTGAGTTCGAGGCCAGCCTGGGCTACCAAGTGAGTTCCAGGAGAGGCGCAAAGCTACACAGAGAAACCCTGTCTCGAAAAACGGAAAAAAAAAAAAAAAAAAAAAAAAAAAAAGAGACAATTGTGGTCAGGTGGTGGTAAAATTGGTCTTTAATCCCAGCACTCAGGAGGCAGAGGCAGGCGGATCTCCAGGACAGCCATGGCGACACAGAGAAATTCTGCCTTGAAAAACTAAAAGAAGAGAAAGAAAGAGAGACAATTGGTATTTATTGGCACACATGTTCAAACAGTCCAGATCTAATTTTCTGCTACAAAAATAACAAAAAGCAGTGACGTATCAAGTGTGAAAGCAAATACTGGACAAGTCCCTTGAAAACTCCTCAGTCTCATTCTGGTAAATGCCAGCAATATGACGGACTGCATACTGGGTTTTGGGGTTTTTTATTTGTTTGCATTATCCAAAAAATACATATTGTGAACGAAATGTCATATTTTACTATTCCAAGTTGACCCTGAATTGGTAGTCTGCTGGTGTTAGCTTTCTCGATATTTCCATGTAAGGTGTCTGCCTCCACAAGCAGCAACAGCAGTTCATTTTTAAAGGTCCATGTCCAGATTTCTAATTTTTATTGTAGAAAGTTAGCACTAATCCACGTGGGTGAAGTGGAAGAAGGATACCTTACTCCCAGGAGGTGAAACCTTCATCTCAAAAGCAAATCATGAGAATAAAGGAAAGTATAATGAAATAATTTTGTCAAGTGTGTTGCAGAACTAATGTGTAAGTTTAATGAATGGTGTATTTTTTTACATGAGTTAGTTTTTATCTTTCATTTGATTCTGTGTTTTATTTAGCAGCCCATTGATATTTTAATATAAAAATATTCATTAATAATATTTTGTTATGCCGGGCATTGATGGCACACACCTTTAGCCCCAAGCACTTGGGAGGCAGAGGCAGGTGGACCTCTTTAGGTTCAAGGCCAGCCCCTTCCACAAAGCAAGTTCCAGGACACCCAGAACTACATAAAGAAACTTTGTCTCAAAAAAAACCAACCAAACAAAAAAGTACTTTGTTCCATCACTGTGACTAATGGGCCACTGAATTTTTTTTATGAATGTTGGATTATTGTACTGGTTTGACGGCAGGGTCTGACATTCTTAGCTGTAGTCCCATTGTTCTTTGCTCTTGTTGTTGTTGGGGTTTTTGTTTTGTTTTGTTTTTGAGACAGGCTCTCACTGTATAGCATGGGATAACTTAAAATTCACTATGTTGAGCAGTCTGGCCTTGACCTCCCAGAGATCCATCTACCTATGCCTCATGAATGTCTAACTCATTGTTTTTCATGAATAAAAAAAACAGTTTAAAATTTTTATGGCTTGGGCGGTTTGTGGGGCCCTGACGGTGGGACCGGGATTTATCCCTAGTGCTTAAACTGGCTTTTTGGAGCCCATCCCCTATGGAGGGATACCTTGCTCAGCCTTGATGCAGAGGGAAGAGGCTTGGTCCTGCCTTAACTTGATACACCAGACTTTGTTGACTCCCCATGGGAGGCCTTACCCTCTCTGAGGAGTGGATGGGAGGTGGTGGGGAGCGGGAGGAGGGAAGGGAGGGGAAACTGGTTGGTATGTAAAAAAAAAAATTTTTAAATAAATTTTAAAAATCTAATTTAAACTTCTAAAACTGTTTTTAGTTTTATTCTACACACTTCAGAGTATTTCCTTTTCTCTAAAAAAAATCCTACTTTTGAGGCCAGCCTGGTCAATGGAGCGAGATCCAGGAAAGGCGCAAAGCTACACAGAGAAACCCTGTCTCGAAACCCCCCCCCCCAAAAAAAAATGGGCTGGAGAGATGGCTCAGAGGTTAAGAGCACCGACTGCTCTTCCAGAGGTCCTGAGTTCAATTCCCAGCACCCACATGGTGGCTCACAACCATCTGTAATGAGATCTGGCGCCCTCTTCTGTATACATAATAAATAAATAAATAAATCTAAAAAAAAAAACAACCCAAACATCCTACTTTGCCTACTTTCTGATACATGGGTTTTATACAAACAATGCCTAAAATTATGGCAGTAAATTATGCTTATTTAATTTGGTGGATGTTGACTTAATTTGTATGAGTTATATGTAATGTCAAGTCTTTGCAAGCTGCTCTGATGTTATATATGTCAAGGTTCATCTTATATTTTAATTACAAAAATAAATTTAAGAAACATAGTTTAGTATGTTGTAAATAGTCCTCTTTCATACATTTGACGAAAGCATATTGGATTTCTAAGAATCACAGGAAATATGTGAAAACATCACACATTTTGTTACAAGTTTAGACTAACAGAGGAAAACAAGCATATTTTTATCTATTCAATTGCACTCACCAGCATTGGAAGACTGATGGCATGCAATGCACTTTTTCTGACACATCCATATGCCTGCACACACATAATTTGCTTTACAAACATGTTAGTGTTGGCATGTGACTTGCTTTTTGCACTTAAGAATTTATCATGAAAATATTGAATGTATCTGCTGTCCTTTTTCAGGGCTGTATGGTCAAATATTATAACTTAGTACTTATTTTATCAATCATTTGAATAATTTCCTCATTAGTTATTGCCTTCATGAGTAACATTGCTTGGACATGTGTAAGATTATGCATGTCCATATGTACCTACAAGATAATAGTACTTCTTTGTAATCATTGCCCAAGAAACTGCCACATATAGTGACACCAATATTGGATACATTCATACAAGCTAGACATCAGGACCATTTTTCTAGCATCCAATTCTTTAAATTTGTTAATCTATGTTTAATTTTAAACAACATCTTAATACCTCAAAAAATTATGTGTGGTATATGTGTTAGTGACTTATGAACATGTTTTCCTGCTCTAGCACACCAGTTTTCTTCCGTGAAACAGGGTCCTAGCCTGGAGCTGGCCTGGCAGTCAGGAAGATGTGATCTATCACCTACCTCTACCTACTATAGCTCTGAGGATAAAAGCAGGCTTGTGATGAAACCCCACCTTTTATGTGGTAGTGTACTAGGGATTCAGGCTCAGTTCCTCATGCTTGCACAGCAAATTCTCTTAACCTACTGTGTGGCTAGAGTTTTCCTGCCTGGCACACGGTCAGGGCAAATCTCTCTCACCCGCCAGTCCCACAGCCGCTCAGACCCAACCAAGTAAACACAGAGACTTATATTGCTTACAAACTGTATGGCCGTACCAGGCTTCTTGCTAACTGTTCTTATATCTTAAACTAATCCATTTCTATAAATTATAGCTTGCCACATGGCTCATGGCTTACCAGCATCTTCACATGCTGTTGGTCATGGCAGCGGCTGGCAGTGTCTCTGACTCAGCCTTCTGCTTCCCAGCTTTATTCTCCTCCTTGTCCCACCTATACTTCCTGCCTGGCCACTGGCCAATCAGTGATTTATTTACCAACCAATCAGAGCAACACATTTGCCATACACAACATCCCACAGCACCACTGAGTCATCTCCCCAGCCCTAAACCACTTTTATTTCTGTATTGACTTATATCCATTCTGTTATGTGTATGTTTATTTTTCTCTTGGATGGCTTTGATGTTTTCTGCTACTTGCCTACCTGTCTTCAGTTTTGAACGGTTTTCCATTCACCTCTAGAATAACAAATGTTAACCTTCCCATCTAATCAGATGATAGGCTTAAGTATGTATGTAATACATTTGGGGAGACTGGTTCTTTTTGAATTTTGCAACAGGATCTTTCTTTTATATAGCCATGACTCTCCTGGAATGTGCTATGTAGACCAGGCTAGACTCAAACTCATGGAGATCTTCTGTCTCTTCCTCCCAAGTGCTGAGATTAAAGGTGGGTACTACCAAACTAAATCATAAGTCAGATGTTTACAAGTTTGCTAATTTTTTTCTTTTATGTGGCAAGCTACTTGTATCATATGCATCTAATTATGGAGTTTTTCTTTTGTAAATTCTGCTTTTACAGATAATTTTATCCTTTATTGTCATTTCTTCAGTCATTCTAAAAGATATTTGTGTCCTCTTAGGAAAGATTATGTGCACTGTAGACTTGGTAAATTCCACTAAATATGTTCATAATGCAGTCATGTCCCCTCAGATGCAATAGATTGTTTTCTGGCAGAATTGGTATTTAATTCAGAGGCCTTATAGGAGTGATTCAGTGTTGAATGTAATTCTGTATTTGTGAAATCATAGCAGTTAATTGTGTGGAAGGCTGTGATAACGGAGTGAAGAGAAATAATAGTCAGACAGATTAGAAAGGAGAGGGGATTGTGTTCACTACCGTGGCTCAAGTGTTTTATGCTTAGCACATTTTACAAGTAACCTACAGGATGCCCATCTCTCTTGTTATAGTCTTTAAAGAGCGGTGCTTGAACGATGGTGGTATGCACGTGTAATTACAGCAGGAGATTTGTCTCTGCTGTGTGAGATGAAGATGACCACTAAAGTATTTCCTGTGATATATTGGATGCTGTTCTTTAGAAATACAAATTGTCCATGTTTTCTAACAAGTTACCTGATCATAACCTCTTGGTAATGTGAAAATACAATAAGAAATGCACTTTCCACTTAATTCCATGATGATTACATTTTAACCATTTTCAGATTATTTACATTAACCTGTGATGTGGGAAGACCTTTTTGTGTTTTATTTTTTGATACACGGTCTCACTGTGTAACCCCTAGTGGCCTGGCACTTGCTATATAGACCAAACTAGCCTCAGACCACAGAAATTTGCCTGCCTCTGCCTCCTGAGTGTCGGAATTACAGTCATGTGCCACCGTGCCTGGCAAGACAGTTTTCCTTTGATGAAGTGTCACTTTTGAAAAAGTTTTTAACCATTAGCAAGCATTATTTAATCAAAGTAGCGGTGACCTAGCTTGCTTTATGTGGCTGAGATAAACACTGGGGCCCAAGGAAGGAGGAAGGAACTTGGAGGAGGAAAGGGTTTACACTTCAAGGTCACATTTCATCAATGTGGGAATCATAGGCACCTAGAGAGGCAAGAACTGAAGCCCAGGCCATGGAGGAATGCTGCTTACTGGATTGTCCCTCATCGCTCCCTCAGCCATCTTTATTATACAACCCTGGGCCACCTTCCCAGAGGCAGCACTATCCACCATGGGCTGGGCTTCCACATAATGATTAAAATGTCACACAATCATCCTGACAGAACAATCTGATACAGGAATCTTCTCAGTTGAGTTCTCTTTTCTCAGGTGAGTCTATTTTGTGTCAAATTGATAAAATCAGAACCAGTACAAATGGGTTTGTTGTCGTGACGTGTGTATCTGAGCTTACTCTGATACGTTCACTTTTCTGTGCCCATCTGTCTGTCTGTCTATCTATCTATCTATCTATTGATATATCTATCTATCTATTGATATGGGGTCCCTCTGCATAGCCCTGGATTTCCTGGACTAACTATGTAGACCAGGTTGGCCTCAAACTCACAGTGATCTTCCCGCCTCTAGCTCCTCTGTACTGAGATGAAAGGCCTGGCTTTCACTACCTCATTCTTTTTTTTTTTCAGAATTGTACCCGTACCAGCACCCCTAAATGATGTAACCTTGTGATTTTTTCCTTTAAAAACTGAGCTTGCAGACAGGCGGGTGCTTCCTCCAGCCTCCACTGCATTGGATGTATTGGATGAAGTCCCTGCCTAGGCTTGTATTTGGATATCCCAGAATTAAACCTTGCTTTTGCATTCTGGCATGCTCATCTTTGGTGGTCTCTCTGGGGGTCACAATCTGGGTACAACATTTGGGGGCTCATGCGGGATCTCCAGAGACCCCCCCACCGGGACACCTAAGAGCTCCGGAGGTCCATCTGCACCGATCGGTAAGAGCGCTCCATTTTCTTGTCTTTGCTTTCCTTTTCTTTTCTTTTTTTTTTTTTTTTAAAGATTTATTTATTATGTATACAGTTTTCCATCTGCACATATCCCTGCAGGCCAGAAGAGGGCGCCAGATCTCATTACAGATGGTTGTGAGCCACCATGTGGTTGCTGGGAATTGAACTCAGGACCTTTGGAAGAGCAAGCAGTGCTCTTAACCTCTGAGCCATCTCTCCAGCCCCTACTTTCCTTTTCTTATCTGAAGCCAGCAGTTGAATCTGACAGGCTCTCACCTTGGCGGACGCGCCTGTAAGGTGACCCTGGAGGAGTTGGGAGATGTCCCAACCCCTCATCAGGATTCGGGGTCCCCACAGGTCCCCCTCATCATAGGATGCCCGTGAGGGGTCCGTCTGTTAGGACGCCCATGAGGGGTCCGTCTGTTTGGACACCTGTGAAGGGTCCATCTGTTTTGTGAACTCTGGGGATCGGGAGACTCTGTTGAATTGTCCCTGTCCCATCCTTACGGTCTTTGGCATAATCGAGACTCCCTCTCTGGACTCTCATCTACTTGGACCATCTGTAGGGCCCTTGTTCTTCCTTTTTGTCTGCCTATCTTGTTCGTCTGTGTGATTTGTTATACTTATATAAATGTATCAATGTGTGAAAACTGTGGCCACATGTGTGAATGTTTTATGCTTGAGTTTATGTATGCGGTGGGACTTGTGGGCCAGATTGCCAGCGGAAGGGATAGAGGCCCCTTTGGTGATTGAACTGGCACGGACTATGACTGTGTGCTAGGGCAGGCTATGAGCATTGTGGGGCCCAGATATGGCTGGCAGGTTCTGGCTGGGCTCCTGTGTGGACACGGGGCAGAGCTGGCGGGAGCCAGCAGGATCCTCAAGGAGCTCAGTGTGGGGGCTGGTGGAGAACTAACTGCCCCTCCAGGGTCACAGCTGAGGAGTAGCCTACAAGTCTGTGGGCCCAGCCAGGGCATGGAGTCACTTTCAGTCTGCCATTCTCATGTTCTTGAAAATCTGAGGTTAACAGCAATCTTTTGTTCCCATGGTACACGCTTTCCCCATCCTCTTCCTCTTCCATGGTGTTGGGTGGGGCTCCCAAGACCTGCCCTGGGGTTAAAACCTGATCAAGGTCTGGCTCCAAGAATGGAATGTCACCAACAGTTTCTTGTCTGTGGTACAGTGCTGATGCAAATTGAGAGTTATTCTTGTTATGGTATATGCATGTATTTCTGTTCTTGTTTAAAATATTGTAACTTTACAATATATTCTAGATTACTGAGGGAAATCACAAGAAAGACTTTGATAAGAGTTTCTGTTTTAAAAGAAAAGAAAAAGTGGAATTTGTCTAAATGTCTGAGGGATCAAAGGAACGGACTGAGGGTATATAGAAGGTTGTAGAAAGTCAGAGGGGATGTGATGTAAACTGTTATGGTTTCTTATACCTGCAAATACTGAATTTAAAAGTTAATTCTTGTTGGTTTTCATCTTAAGAATGGCTAATGATTCTGCAAACTGTTTATGTGTGTATGTATACAGGTATGTGACTTGTTGAAAATGTAAGCAAGCTTTAACTGTACGTATGTATGTGTGTAACTTGGATCCAACTGTGTGTATGTGTGCAAGTAATTATTTAGAAAAACGAGCTTTAAACAGCAACCACGTGGCTTCCTCCATCTTGGCTGGTGACCTCATGGGCAGGCATGTGGCTGGCAGCCATCTTTTACTAAGGTTATAAAGATCTACTCAGGTTAACACCTAAGTACTTATGTCTTTACCAAGTGTTCAACAGCAAGTTTATAGAGAATTTAAATAGATGACAACATATGTTTAATAAGTAAGATACTTAATAAATATTAAAGCTGCACATCAATGCTTTTATACACAGGAATATACCTTGCTCTGGCAGCTAAACTTTGTAATATAAAGGAATCATAGGAAACAGCTGAGGTTTGCAAATGTATGGCAGGACTAGAGTTCCAAAAAGAGTCTAGTTGCAGTGGTGGACCTTAGCAGTTTAAAAAAAAAAATGCCAGTGTCAGGTGATGATCACCGGAAGCACCAGCCATAATAAAATGGAGTAAGCAAGGCTATGTATGTGCTGCCAAAGATAGGGTCAAAGAAATGATCCAAGCCTCTAAGTAAAAGAACCAAAATGATTATAAATGAATCCCAGATATTGAACTTTGGGATTGTTTGCACTCTGGAGCTTGGTTTTACTTTATACAGATTATGATGATGCCATGTTTTCTCCCCCTTAAAGTAAAAGAAGATACTTTATTGTTGATATTACAGAAGACATTTGAGAGATCTTAATCTTTTAAGAACAGTTTTTATAGTTAAAAACCAATGACTTAAAAAAATGTTTCTCCTTACCCAAGGTACGTTCAGGCTTAAGAATGTTGTCTAGCCTCCTTGTATTTGCTAAGTTTGTTAAGCTTACGTTATTTGGATAAACTGATGCATATATATGTTTTATATTGATATTTTGTTTTGGTTTCTTTACTGAACCTGTATTTGATGCTAGAAGAGCTTCAACTTAAAAGCATTGTTTTTAGGCTACTTATTGTAGGCTGTTAGAGAACATAAATAGTCAGTCATAAGTAATCAAGTTTTTTTTTTTTTTTTTTTTTTTTTTTAAAGATTTATTTATTATGTATATAGTGTTCTGCCTACATGTATGTCTACAAATCAGAAGAGGGCACCAGATCTCATTACGGATGGTTGAGAGCCACCATGTGGTTGCTGGGAATTGAACTCAGGACCTCTGGAAGAGCAGCCAGTGCTCTTAACCTCTGAGCCATCTCTCCAGCCCCCATAATCAAGTTTTTTTTAATTGTAGTCAGGGTAAGTAAGTACTGATGTAATATTACAGGGATAAATTTACTCATTTACTCAGTCCCTTGCATATGTTTTCAGGGTTGAGCTTGAAACAAGTAACTAGAAACAAAGTTTGTCTATTCAGATACCTGACAGCCCTCATACTTCAGAGATCTGCAGAATATGGCATTTAAATGTTGATCTAAAAGCTTATTATATCAGACAGGTTTCCAGATCCTAGCAGTGACCCAAGGTCTCCGAAGAAGATTATGTACGAGGCACCATAACATCTCTGCCTAGATTATGGCAACACTGACCACAGGGCAAGATGCTCCAATGCCTGGCTTACCCAAGAGCTGCAGAAGGAGGTGGCACATTAGCAGGAGCTGCTGATGGCTCAGAGACTCTCAGCATCTGCTCTAGGAGGTCTAAAGGTAAAAGAGGACAGTCCTGGAGATGCTCTGTCGGCTGCATCATCTCATCCCACCCCAGCTTCACCCTCATCTCCTCCTCCACACAATGGGGAACTGGAGCCTCCTTTTCCCCCAGTGCTGAGCCTCAGATTGGGCCTGAGGAGGCCATGGAGAGGCTGCAGGAGACGGAGAAGACTATTACCGAGCTGAATGAGACTTGAGAGGAGAAGCTTCGTAAGATAGAAGCCCTGAGAATGGAGAGAGAAGCATTGCTGGCTGAAATGGGCGAGGCTATCCGAGAGGATGGTGGTACTGTGGGTGTCTTCTCTCCAAAAAAAAAAAAGACTCCCCATCTAGTAAATCTGAATGAGGACCCCTTGGTGTCTCAGTGTTTTCTCTACCACATCAAAGATGGTGTCACCAGGGTTGGCCAGGTAGATGTGGACATCAAGTTGACTGGACAGTTCATCCGGGAGCAACACTATCTCTTCTGAAGCATCCCTCAGCCTGGTGGAGAAATGATGGTCACATTAAGGAGTTGATGGGAAGCTTGTGATGGAGCTGCTTGTGCTGAAGTCAGGAAACAGGATCGTAATGGGCCAGATGGTGAAAAAAGATTGATGCTGTTCCGACTGGTGCCTCCAATGCTATGGAGACCTGGGTAGGGATTGGTCCCTGTAATTTATAGGATTGGAAGCTTCTTGGTCTGCACTCAGATATAGTTTATCCTTCTCAGATTTCTGATAGTACTGATGGCTAGGCTAGCTCTAACTTTGTCAGCATGGCAGCATCAACCAGATCCTTCTGCAAGGCTATAGCTAGCTCGTTAGCTCACTTTTAGAAAAATGTTCTAAGATATAAAAGTTTAAGTTAGTCATAAAGGTTCAGATATGAGTCTAAGAAAGGTCTGAGGATAGAAAAGCTTCTAAACTTTGAGGGTCTCAAAAAAATAATTTAGGATGAGATATGTTTCAGATTACTCTCCTGTTTTATGGTTCAGAGCTTAACATTTAGGAGCCCTGATGAGCTGGTAGAGCAATAACTACTTACTGTTCAGTCACAAGCTCAACGTTTTAGATTTGTTTTAGATGTCATAAATGTAAACCTAAAAGTGTTTCTCATCAGGCCAAAAATCTCTGTCCAATTTATACCTGGCTTTCTGGACAGAAGGAAAATGCACAAGCTTTTAACCCAAATCTGTAGTTCTTGTTGGGACTCAAAGGTATGAGTCCACTTCTGCTGTTTTACAAGATACCCATTACCTGCTTTTTCTACAATATGGATTTCAGTACAGATTGGTAATACTAATGTATCTAAAACTTTTATGTCATTTTGTAAGTAGGCCTCAAAGGATCAAAAGAGTCATAAAAACCTAGACCCACTTTACAGAGGTTGAAAAGGACCCCAGATAAGTATTCCTAAAGATGGTATTTTTCCTCTCTTCTGGTTTTGGGACTACTGCTTTTCCCATTACTAAGGGTATGGACCTAAGGGTTCCAAATAAGTTCATAAATTTTAACTTCTGTTCCTAGTTTAAATTTGTCTCAACAGATTTCCACTTGGCTGGCAGTCACCTCCAAGTTTCAGTCACTAACTCCACTGCTCCAGATGACTGTGAGCTCCGGACTTGCTAAAAGCTGACGTAGACCAGCCCAGCTAACATGATTCTTCCCTGTCCCTATGGGGTCAGGCAGCTACATGCTTCTGACAAATGCCCCTTGCCCAATCTTTGACTAGCTTTTTAGCCTTTTGGGGTCCCTGACAACGGCGCCCCAATGCCAGCTCGAAGCAGTTCCAGAAGAGAATACATCATCCCATGTTCCCTGTTCAGAAAAGGCTGAAATGCTGGGTCAAAAGAAAACTCCCTGGCATGGAGACAAGATGGCTAACTATACATGGCCATTATTAGAGAGGGATACTTATGAGCTAACTGCCCAAAACCCATGATTGGGTTCCATTAGGCACATGAGAAGGGGAAATGCGAGACCAAAATGAGCCATCTTAGAAATAAGACCAAAATGCTTTCACCCAAAAACTAAGGCCTAAGATTTCTCTTTCTAGGAATAGGCCAATAGTTACTGAAACAAGTCAGTCCAGATTCCAGAAATCAGGAAGTGTAAAAGTACAGAGTCACAAGGTAGTCATGAGGTAATGCCTGCCAGACTATGGAATGTCCTCTCCCTGGTTTCCAGGGTAACTGACCACAGAAATGCCCCCACCTGAAGGCAGCCAATGAGAAATGGTGGCGGGCAAACACTCCCTTAGAAGTAATTTCTAGAAGTCCCTAGAAGCGAGCCAATCAGAATTGTACTCATACCAGCACCCCTAAATGATGTAACCTTGTGATTTTTCCCTTTAAAAACTGAGCTTGCAGACAGGCGGGTGCTTCCTCCAGCCTCCACTGCATTGGATGTATTGGACGAAGTCCCTGCCTAGGCTTGTATTTGGATATCCCAGAATTAAACCTTGCTTTTGCATTCTGGCACGCTCATCTTTGGTGGTCTCTCTGGGGGTCACAATCTGGGCACAACAGTTAGCAGGACTATGAGAGGGCAGTGAAAGAGGGGACAAAGAGGAACTGAGTGTCAGGACAGAACTAAGCTATGTAGACAGGATTTCATCCCAGAGAAATAAAGTAGATGGACAAAGAGCTTGGTGTATCTAGATTTATTCCTGCCCTGAATGCTGATGAACTGTAGCTGTTTTGATAGAATTTTGTCTTAGAGGAATAAAGTTAACAGATATGAGAGCATAGTGTACATAGATTTTTTTTCCCTCAGATACCCCCCACTGGATGTAGCATCTTCCCCAGATTCTGGGCAATCCATAGTGTTCCATGTATGCATTTCTCATACCAGTTCATTTGTTTGTTTATTTTATTCTCGTTTATCTGGCTGTTTGTTTTCTAGAGAGAAAGAAGAGGAGTGGTATTGGATAGGGGAGGGAAATCTAGGAGGAGATGAGAGAAGGGCAATCATGACAGTATACATTGTATGAAAAAGTTATTTTCAATAAAAAAGCAAAATCAGTAAAAAATAAGAAAATTTAAATTTAAAATTAGGGTGGAACAAAAGGTGACTAAATTCACATATTTTATTAAGTAGATTAGACAAGGATATAGTGGAAAAGTGTTTACTAAAATGGATGAATGTGCAAGTGAAGAATAACTACTTTTTCTGTGTATTATTTTTAATGAGGACATATATATCTCCTGTCAAAATACTACTTAAACATGTTATGATTGAAGACTGGAGGGTTGTAGTGAGCTTGAGGCCAGCCTAGGCTACATAATAAGTATCAAGGTGGCTAGTAGTGGCTTCCTAGATAGAGCCTGATTCAAAGAAGCAGATAGAGGTGTTGGACAGATGGCTCAATGGTTAAGAACACACAGACTCAGTGGGTGAGATTGTCAGATTAAAATCAAATATCTCTTGTAATCAAACTTGTTTCCTAAACCTAACTTTTCTTCTTTTGGCTTTTCAAGAAAGGGTTTCTCTGTGTAGCCCTAGCTATCCTGGAACTAGCTCTATAGACCAGGCTAGCCTGAACTCACTGCCTGCCTCTGCCCCCCAAGTGCTGGAATTAAAGATGTGCACCACCACCACCACCACCACCACCACCACCCCACCTGGCCCCTTGATATTTCTTAATTTTTGAATTGAACCAAGCAATCTTCCTACATGTTTTCTAACACCAGGAGTTCTCTCACATATTCTTTGTTTATTTTGTTTTGTGTCAAGGTTTCTTTTTGTAGTCTTGGTTGTCCTGAAACTAGTAGAACAGGCTGGCCTCAAACTGTCAGAGATCTCCCTCCTCTCCCTTCCAAGTGCTGGGATTAAAGATGTGGGCCACCCACCACCCAGCCTCAATACATTCTTATAAGTGTTAACAAAGTGATTATGAAGACTTTACAAATTCTATGTTTCAGGCCACTCTATAGTGAGATCTCTACTCTACAGTGAGTGTCTATAAATGAACATGGGATGACTGAAAGTTTTATAAGATTCCCTATATGTCTTAGTCACTGTTCTATTACTGTGAAGACACACCATGACCACAGCAACTCTTATAAAGGAAAGCATTTAATTGGGGCTTGCTTAGAGTTCACAAGTTTAGTCCATTGTTATCATGAAAGGGAGCATGGCAGCATGCAGGTAGACATTGTGCTCGAGAAGGAGCTGATTGTTCTACATCCAGATCAGTAGGTAACAGGGAGAAGAGAGACACATTGGTTCTGTCTTGAGCATTTGAAACTCCAAAGCCCATCCCCCAGTGACACACTTTCTCCAACAAGGCCACATCTCCTAATCCCTGTCAAGTAGCACCACTCCCTAAACCAAACATTCAAATATATGAGCCTATGGGGTACATTCCTATTTGAACCATCACAATCTATTCCCTAGCCACCATAGGCTTATAGCCATATCAGAATGCAAAAATGCATTCAGTCCAACTTCAAAAGTCTCCATAGTCTGTAACAGTCTCAACACTGTTTCAAAGTCCAAAGTTCAAAGTCTCTTCTGAGATTCAAGGGAATCTCTTAACTGTAATCCCCTGTAAAATAAAATAAAATAAGCAGACCACATACTTCCAATATACAATGGCACAGAATATATATTACCATTCCAAAATGGAAGAAAGGGAGCATAGTGGGTTAATACTAGACCAAAGCAAGATTGGAAACCAGCAGGGCAAAGTTCAAACTGTTCAAATTCTACATCTCCTTATCTGATGTCAAAAGTGCTCCTCAGATACCCACTCCTTTCAGCTTTGTGGACTGAAACACACTTCCTTCTCTTGGGCTGGTTCCACACTCTGTTAGCAACTCTCCTTTGTAGGTATCCCACAACTCTGGCATCTCCAACATCTTGGGGGTCTCCAAGGCAGCCCAGGCTTTATCTTCACAGCTTCACACAAAGGCTTCTCTGGGCCTCCAGGCAGGGACACATGCTTGGCCTCAGCATCTTTCTTAGCCGTCGAGGGTGTTCTTTTTCTGTGGTCACAGTGACTGTACCTGAATCTACTGCTGTTTCAACCAGTAACTGAGGCTCCACAGTTACTGACCCACTTCTCTGGCAGTGACCCAGCAGGACTTCTCCTTTCCGCTGGATCTACCTCTTGCTGCTGCCAGCAAATACAGTTTTTAACTAGATCTCTATCATTCCGTTTACCGGTGAAGTCTCGGGAGTCAGAGGCTGGGGTGAAAACCTATTGGATCAGAGCGGCTGAGGAGCAACTAGCTAACCTTCCCTCTTCTCAAACATCTCAAAAAAGAGAGCAACTCTTCCATTCCTCCAAACCAAAAAGGACCACCACCCTCAAAGTCCTTCCCTACTACTTCCTGGGTGTCTCTCTATTCATTTCCTGGACTTCCTCTGACTCTATGATTACTTTCTGTCAACTAGTTGCTGGCCCCACCTCCTGACCCAAGGTTGAGTTTATTTAATTAATGCAAACACAAATTCTGGGTCCACAGTGTTATCATATATACAATAAGAAGGAGGTTCCAGAATCCTTTTTTTATAACCTTGACTCTAAAGCCAGAATTGAGTTGCTAAAGCTGCCAAGTTCATCTGCTTGCTGGGGCTGGAACATGGCCTCTTGTTAAAATACATTTTCACCAGCTTTCTGTTTCTAATGGTTTTCTTTACTGCATATGCTTGGCTGTCCTGGAACTTGCTCTGTAGACTCAGCTGGCCTCCAACTCAGAAATTTGCCTGCCTCTGCCTCCCTGGTACTTGGAATAAAGGCATGGTCTACCACACTCTGCCCTGAACTTTTCTTTAATTCCTTTTCACAAGTTGGAAGCTTAGCTAGGTGGGGTCTTGTCCTGAGGTTATCCTTTATTACATTTAGGATCAGACTTTTCTGTAAACTTTTATCTCTTTGAGCCCTGAACTTAGCTCCATTATACTTCCTGGTGCTTCTTTTCTCCTCAAACTGTACATTTTGTATTTTTCCTTTTTCAGATTACTCTTTTCATTATTGAGCTACATAACAGTAACCACTAATAATCACTCAATAGTCAATACTAGGGTGCCTTGAAATCTCCTCTACTAATGTTATCAATCCAAATTATTTTAATTTAGCCTCAGGCAGTTTTTTTTTTTATAACAAGGGCAGAAAGCAGTTACATTCTTCACCAAAATATCACAAGCATGATCTCTAGGCCACTTATTAATGTTCTTCTCCTATGAAACCTCAAGCTAGACCATCATCATCTACATCACTCTCAGCACCACTGTCTCCCACACTCCTATTGGTATGCTGCATTAAGCATTCTGCCAACAAGCAACATGGTCAGGCCTGTCACAGCAATACCCCAACCTGGTACCAACTACTGTCTTAATCAGTGTTCTATTGCTGTGTAGACACATCATGAGCATGCCAACTCTTATAAAGGAAAGTATTTAATTGAAGCTGGCTTAAGTTCAGAGATTTAGTTCATTGTCATTGTGGGAACCAGGCACACATGGTGCTGGAGAAGTAACTTGATACTTCTACATCTGAATCCATAGACATTGAGAAAAGAGAAACACATTGGGCCTGGCTTGAGCATTTGAAACCCCAAAGCCCACCCTTAGTGACACAAACTTCCTCCAACAAAGTCATCCCTACTCCCAACAAGGGCACACCATGACAAAGGCAACTCTTATAAGACAAAGCATTTAATTGGAGCCTTGCTTACAGTTTCAGAGAATTAGTCTGTTATCATCATGGCTGGCAGCACAGAGCAAGGGGGAAAGAGAGGATCTGCCAAGGGCTTTTGAAACCTCAAAAGCCAGCCCCAGTGACACAATCCCTTCAAGAAGCTTACACAACTACTTCAAAAAGCCATGCCTCATAATCCTTCCAATCTTTGCAAACAGTTCTACTCCCTGGTGACTAAGCATTAAAATATGAGCCTATGAAGGACATTTTAATTCAAACCACCACACTATATATGAAGGGTTTCTCCCCAAAGAGATTACTACAACATTTTTAGGGCCCCCTAAGAACTAAAGGCTACCTATATTTCATGTGTAAGGTTTTTCTCCAGTGTGAGCTATTTTACATATTCTCCATAATGAGAAGAATGCAGAAGATTTTATTACATTACTTGTAGCTTTTCTCCAAAAGGCTTTTATCTAGTGTGTTTGCTTATATGTATTTGAAGAGAATTTCTAGTACTAAAGGCCACATCAATTCAACAGAATAGCTTCTCTCCATTATGACTGGTTGGGACATTTTCCCACACTGTCAGCATAATCTATTTCACTCTCATGTGGTTTGATTCTGTGAGAACTAACAAAGAGAAGGCTTTCTCATGTTACTTAGGAACATCCTTATTTGTTCTATTATGTGTCAGTATATGTCTTTGCAAACGATATGGAAACAAAAATTCTTTCCCGCATTGCTTACATAAATAAGGTTTGTCACAGGAGTGAAGTTGATTAGGAGTTGTAAAGCCTTTCCCACATATCTTACATTCATGGGGTCTGTTCCTGGTGTGGATGCGTTCATGCTTTTTAACCTGATCAGGAGACCAAAAGGCTTTCCCGCATTGCTTACATTGGTAGGGTTTCTCACTGCTGTGGATTCGTTTCTCATGTTTTTTAAGATAATTAGGATAATGAAAAGCTTTCCCACATTGCTTACACTGATAGGGTCTTTCGCTGCTGTGGATTTGTTCATGTTTTTTAAGATAATTAGAATAATAAAAACCTTTCCCACATTGCTTACACCGATATGGCCTGTCATTGCTATGGATTCGTTCATGTCCTCGAAGTAAATAAAAATGATGAAAGGCTTTTTTGCAATGCTTACATTCATAAGGTTTTTCTTCAGTATGCATTATGTTATGCTTGCGAAGAGAACTCTTAAAACTGAAAGCTTTCCCACATTGCAAACACACATAGGGCTTCTCTCCACAGTGATTCCTTTCATGGCTCTGAAGGGAGGAAGAAGAAGCTAAATTCTTTCCACACTGCTTACATTTGTAGGGTTTTTCTCCAGCATGCACTCTATTATGCAATTGAAAGGAACCATAATCATTAAAAGTTTTCCCACATTGCTTGCATACATAGGGTCTCTCTCCAGTGTGAATTCTTTCATGTCTTTTATGGTTACCAAAATGAGCAAAGGTTTTTCCACAGTGCTTACACAAATAGGGCTTCTCACCAGTGTGAATTCTTTCATGTGATTGTAAGGAACTGGAATAAGTAAAGCCTTTCCCACATTGCTTACAAACATAGGGATTCACACCACTGTGAATTACTTTATGTTTCTGATATTGACTCCAAAATGTGAAGGCTTTCCCACACTGTTTACATACATAAGTTTTTTCCCGAGTGTGAGTTAGTTCATGTGCTTTAAGGTAACGAGAAACAGTGAAGGCTTTCCCACATTGCTTACACACATAGGGTTTCATACCACTGTGAGTTCTCTTATGTCTTAGAAGAGTAGCAGAACGAGTAAAAGTTTTCCCACAATGATTACACAGAAATGCTTTCTCACAAGAATGATTTACATTATGTTTTGAAAGGGAACCTAACCGAGAAAAGCCTTTCCCGCACAGTTCACACACATAGGGCTTCTTAGCACTGTGACTCTTTTCGTGTGTTTGTAAAGAATTGGGATAGGTGAAGCCTTTCCCACATTGCTTGCAAATATGAGGTTTTTTCGCATGGTCCTGTTCTTCATTCTTCTGACCAGATTGGAGACAAAGAAGGTCTTCTTTGCAGTTCTTATTTTTAGGAGGTTTCTCTCCAGTGTGAGCACTTTTATGTGTCCGAAGGGACAGAGGGGAACTGGAGCTGCCCCCAAACTCCTTATGTTTATACAACTTCCGTCCATATTCCTGGTCTTTATGAGGTTTATGTCCTACCTGATGATTTAGGGGTGCACCTAGAGATGAATGGCCAATGCTTCCTTCTCCACACACATGCTTCTCACATGTGGAAAATCCTGGAGAAGATTTCAAGTTCACAGAAGGCTCTGGAATACAGCTGAAGAGTTCTGTACTCTGAAGACTTTCTTTATATTCACAGAATTTCTCTACCAGTTGGCTGCTGCAAAACAAGTGGAGAGTACATGACTAAGACTTGGTTTATTAATGACTGAACAAAAGGAATGTTGGTTTCATGCTGAGAAAAAGTTTGAAACATGTTTGGACTGCAATGCTTTTCAAGACCACTTGAGGACAGTTAAAAGAGAAATAATGGTATTCATGTATAGTAGGGTATGTCTCCTTGAGAATATTAAATATTCACATATCATCTCAACACAAATTTCAATCCACAATCTTATGTGCATTTTGGATGTAAAATGGTATCAACCAAAATAATACTCTGTTTTTAAATATTTGCATGTCCATGAAATAAGCTGACATTAGTCATCCCCAACTTGTCCCCGTGGCTTATGGATAAATCAATACAACATTGATTTTAAAATGTGTTCATTTTTCCAGCACTTGAGAGGCAAAGGCAGGCAAATCTCTGAGTTTGAGGCCAGCATGGTCTACAAGTGAGTTCCAGAACAGCCAGGGCTACAGAAAGAAACCCAGTCTTAGGGGAAAACTGTGTTCATTTATTGTGTTTGTGGGTGTGCATGTGTGCTATGGTACATGGGAAGATCTCAGAAGAGCTTTCAGGAGTGCTGTTTCCTTCCATGTCAGTGAAACAGGGTTTGTCTTAGAAGTGCATAGACTATAGATAAGTGCCATTTTATGTGGGTTCTGGGAATTGAATTCAGGCCATTAGGATTGCATGGTCAGCCCTATTCCCAGCTAGGCAATCTTTTGGTCCCCCTGTATAACATTTGAAATGATGAGGTGTGCTCTGGTTAGTTTTCTGTCAACTTGACACAATGTAGAATCATCTTGGAAGAGAAATCTCAGCTGACAAAATATCTCCTTAAGATCATCTTTAGGCAAATCTGTGGGGACATTTTTGTGATCAATCATCAATGTGGGAGAGATTAGCCAACTAGGAGTGGTATCGCCTCACCCCCCCCCCCCACCCCTAGCACCAGGTGGTCCTCATTATATAAGAAAATAGGAACAGACCGGAACAGAAAATATTGCCTGAGGCCAACCCAGGGCCCAGCTGCTGATCCTGTGAAACCCAGCAACATGGAGGTGTGGGTGAGAATGCCCTACTGAACAACCTGCTCAGTTGAGATCCATTCAGGAGAGGTTTTAGAAGCCTACAGTCTGCAGTCTGAGGAAACAAGATCAGCTGAGGAGTTGACGAATGAGCAAAATGTGACCTGAGAACACCAAAGAAGGTGCCACCCAGCCACTGAACTGGAACACCAGAATCATAAGCCCACCCTACACTGACTGGAAACAGGTAAGCCTGCATCTCCGGACCAGCAGACCAGTTCTCCAGCCCCTAGGCCCCAGCCATCAGAGTCTCAGGGACCAGACAGCTACCTTTCCCTGCTCCCCCACCAAAAAAACCAAACAAAACAAAACAACCCCTATGAACCCAACAACCACTGGAGCCATAAGCCCACCCTGCACCAATTGGGAACAACTACTCCCTGAGACAGAACCAACTGACACTGATTGAACTAAGCTGCTCCCAGAGAAACAGAGCCCAACAGCACTGATTCGACCAAGAACTCCTAGTGGACAAAGACTAACAATTAGAACAAGAGAGGCACCTTCAGACACAGACTCTGCCTACACCAAGCAGAGGAAGAGATGAGTAGACACCAGTGCAAAAATACAGGCAACAACATAAAGACCTATATGACAACATCAGAACCTAGTGATTCTACACCTGCAAGGCCTGAACATACCAAGGCAGAAGAAGCAGAAGAAATCAGTCCTAAAAATGACTTTAAGAAGATGATAGAGGCCCTTAAAGAGGAAATGAAAAACTTCTTTAAAGAGGAAATTAAAAATTCCCTTAAAGAAATGGAAGAAAAAACAAACAAAAAATTGGAAGAAGTCAAAGAAAGCCAAGAAAAAGTAATTAAACAGAAGGAAACAGTTCAAGATTTGAAAATTAAAATTGAGACAATAAAGAAAACACAAACTGAGTGAATGCTGGAAATAAAAATTCTGACTAAATGAACAGGAACTACAGATGAAAGCATAAACAACCAAATGCAAGAGATGGAACAGAGAATCTCTGATGTTGAAGACACAATCGAGAAAATATATTCGTCAGTCAAAGAAAACACTAAAGCCAAAAAAGTCGTAACACAAAATGTCCAAGAAATTTGGGACACCATGAAAAGACCAAACCTAAGAATAATAGGGATAGAAGAAGAATACCAACTCAAAGGCACAGAAAATGTATTCAACAAAGTCATAGAAGAAAACTTTCCTAACCTAAAGAAAGAAATACCTATGGAGATCCAAGAAGCTTACAGAACACCGAATAGGCTGGATCCAAAAAAAAAGTCCCCTCGCCACATAATAATCAAAATCAAAAAACTAAACATACAGAACAAAGAAAAAATATTAAGAGCCGCAAAAGAAAAAGACCAAGTAACATATTAAGGCAGACCCATCAGAATAACACCAGACTTCTCAATAGAGACTATGAAAGCTAGAAGGTCCTGGTCAAATGTTATGCAGACACTAAGAGACCACGGATGCCAACCCAGACTATTATACCCAACAAAACTCTCAATCACCATAGACGGAGTAAACAAAATATTCCATGATAAAATCAGATTTAAACAATACCTATCCACAAATCCAACCCTACAGAAAGCACTAGAAGGAAAAATCCAACCTAAAGAAGTTAAACACACCGATGAAAACTCAGGCAATAGATAATCCCACACCAGCAAATATCGAAGAAGGGAAAAACAACACTACCACAAAAAAATAAATAAATAACAGGAATTAACAATCACTGGTCATTAATATCCATCAATATCAATGGTTTCGACTCACCTATAAAAAGACATAGGCTAACAGAATGGATATGAAACAGGATCCATCCTTCTGCTGCATACAAGAAACACACTTAAACTTCAAAGACAGACACTACCTCAGAGTAAAGGGCTGGGAAAAGGCTTTCCAATCAAATGGACTTAAGAAGCAAGCTGGTGTAGCTATTCTAATATCTAATAAAATAGACTTCAAACTAAAATCAATCGAAAGAGATCAGGATGGACATTACATATTTATCACAGGGAAAATCCACCAAGATAAAGTCTCCATTCTGAACATTTATGCCCCAAATACAAAGACACCCACATTTGTAAAAGAAACATTACTAAAGCTTAAATCTCACATCAAACCACACACACTAGTAGTGGGAGATTTCAACACATCACTCTCACCAAAAGACAGATCTACCGGATTGAAACTTAACACAGAAATAAAGGACCTAACAGATGTTATGACTCAAATGGACTTAATATATATCTACAGAACATTCCACCCTAACACAAAAAAGTATACCTTCTTCTCAGCACTCCATGGAACCCTCTAAAAAATTGACCACATGCTCAGTCACAAAGCAAATCTCAACAGATACAAAAACATTGGAATAACCTCCTGTATCTTATTGGACCATCATGCCTTAAAGTTAGATTTCAACAACAACAAAAACTATAGAAAGCCTACAATCTCATAGAAACTGAATAATGCCCAACTGAAGTGCCAATGGGTTAAGAAAGAAATAAAGAAAGAAATTAAAGATTTCCTAGAATTCAATGAAAATGAAAGTACAACATACCCAAACTTGTGGGACACTATGAAAGCAGTGCTGAGAGGAAAATTCATAGCACTAAATGCACACATAAAGAAGATGGAGAAATCTCATACCAATGACTTAACAGCACAACTGAAAGTTCTAGAACAAAAGGAAACAAACTCACTCAGAAGGAATGGATGCCAGGAAATAATCAAATTGAGGGCTGAAATCAATGAAATAGAAACCAAGAGAACAATACAAAGAATCAATGAAACAAAGAGTTGGTTCTTTGAAAAAAATCAACAAGATAGACAAACCCCTAGCCAAATTAACCAAAAGGCAAAGAGAGAGCAACCAAATTAACAAAATCAGAAATGAAAAAGCAGACAACAAGGAAATCCAGAGAATCATTAGGTTATACTTCAAAAGCCTCTACTCCACAAATTTGGAAACTCTGGAAGAAATGGACCATTTTCTGGATAGGTACCACATACCAAAGTTAAATCAAGACTGGATAAACTATTTAAATAGACCAGTAACCCCTACAGAAATAGAAACAGTCATTAAAAGTCTCCCAACCAAAAAAAAGCCCAGAACCAAATGGTTTCAGTGCAGAATTCTACCAGATTTTCAAAGGAGAACTAATTCCAATACTCTTCAAATTGTTCCACACAATAGAAATAGAAGGAACATTACCAAACTCTTTTTATGAGGCTACAGTTACCCTGATACCCAAACCACACAAAGATGCAACAAAGAAAGAGAATTACAAACCAATCTCCCTCAAGAACATTAATGCAAAAAATACTCAACAAAATATTGGCAAACTGAATCCAAGAACAATCAAAAAGATTATCCACCATGACCAAGTAGGTTTCATCCCAGGGATGCAAGGATGGCTCAACATATGAAAATCTGTCAATGTAATACACGACATAAACAAACTGAAAGAAAAAATGCCGAGGACAATTTTAAGTGCCATGTCATATTGCCTGCCTGAGTTAAGTTTCTGTTGCCCAGTACTGAGCTACTAACCAGAAACTTTTGACATGCCTGGACAAGTCCTGAGTTATTAGAAAATAATATTTCCTTATCTTTCTGCTGCAGTGACCATTAGTAACAATGTTTTGTGGTTAGGTTGCTTGGTTGGGTTGCTTGGCAACTCAACAGTCCCCTGATCTTTTCCCAAATAAAGTTTCCTGGTCTGCTTACTATAAAACCCACCTGAGAAAATAAAATTTTGCAGCTTGATCAGAATACTGTCTTGCTGTCAATTCTTTGTGTCTCTTGTCCCTTTCATTGGCCATTCCCCCTTCTAGGGTCTCTGCTGAAGATCCCGCTGGCCGGGACAAAAAAAAAAAAACAGATGATCATCTCATTAGATGCTGAAAAAGCTTTTGACAAAA